CTTCTATGAACAGGTGTGTCGCCTTCAGGTAGCCGGCTTCCCGATGCCTTTTATAACTTCTGTTTACAAAGGTCTGATACCTCAGATCAAGAAGGGAAAAAATAGTGTTAAAAAACAAGAGAGCTTAAAAAAAATGTGCCACCATGCCCTAAAAGCATAGAATAGCCCATGGACTACAATATGTGGCATCACGATATGATGTACAGGTACTATTCTCAGCAAGAAACAAATTAGAAAAATTGTGCCCTATGGTGAATAAAAAGCATGATGAAAGAGCTCCAGCCAAAATAAAGTGGTGTAAAACACAGGGATGCTTCACTACTCTGTGTGCTATGGGTAGTGTAGAAATTCCCTAGGGGGACACGGATCTTATAAGACCGAAAATCGCAAAAAAATGAACTTTTTGAAGCTGACATTTTCGGAATCTGTACCTGTTTATGCACTTACATGAGAAATTTCTAGCTTCTTGCGTCATTATTTCTGGCGCAAAATCAATTTATAACACCCTTGTGAGATGAATGTGAGCGCAAATAGACACTACAATCGTGCTTTTTCCGTGCCGAACCGTTGCCACTACACACAAGCTATCGTGGTCATCTTGGTCTCGTTTGGAAGCGTCGTTCTTCATCTTCAATTTCCCGCCACTGCTGGTTCGTTTTTTTCATTGGTTTTTCAGCAAAAACGCGTGATCGAGAAGCACCAGCGCGCGATTCTATTGAATGCTTGAGGCACGTGACAAAACCTAGGCATCCGATTGGCCGAGTGGCGTTTCCAGTGTCTGCTTCACTATCGTGACGCGCATGGAGATGGACCATTTCGTAATGGTGCTGTCGGCTGCCTGCTGCAGTAAAGAAGTCTCGCGCCACACTAATTAATGAAGCAGGTGTGGCGATCGTTCGTTCGCTTTGAACTTCAGAAAGAGACCTGCTATGGCTCAGGACGAGGATAACGAACTCGCAGCGGTCAACGGCTGTCACCGAGTCACCAGTGTAGGCCTAGCTCAGGTACGAGCCGGTCGGTTGCCGACGACGTCACTGAAAGCGGCCGTGTTTTGCAGCCTCATCAGTTTAGAGGAAGGCAAATGAAAAGCAGAAGTGAAGCTATGAGAGATATAAATTTTTGCAGCGACGGAATGAAGCACAGTCTTATCGCTAAGCTCGCCGATGCTGTGGTCCCCCGCGCCTGACGGAACGAGCTCGCTTGTGTGTGAACTGCATGACGGGTCGTCAGAGTGGAGTACACTGTGCGTCGACGAACAACAGAAAATGAATCTGTTCGCGGTGAACGTGCTTGCCGCCTGCGCAATGGAGGCTACTGGCAACACGCAGACTGCTTTTAACGACGTGTTTGCAATGATGTCGCGGTCTCCACTTGAAAATGCGGCAGTCTTACGTGAAAAGAAAACTATCACGATCGGCACTAATGCAGCCTCGAAAGCGAATGCACAAATTTGGTTCGTGACGTTTACGTGTAACTCATTCTAGACAAGCCGAAAAACATCGTGTCATTCGGCGGATCGCAGATGACGCGTGCACATTTATCGCACATCGGCGTCAGTACCCTCACTGAACAGATAAGCGGCCTGGTCGTCAGACGAGCACATGGTGACAACTTGCAGCAGGACTTGAAGAAACGACATGCTCATGCAAACAATCTGTCCGATTACATGCCCAGTGCATATCAACTGACTAAAAGTATGTGTGTCATGATTTTCTTTTGTCTCGAAACTGAAAAATGAAGTTTTAACAGTATTTTTCTCGGAACACAGATCGACTTTCCTGAAACACTTTCCTTGTTTGCTTGTTCTGTAAAACTTGACCTAGGACAGCTAGAGCTGTACTTATTTCGGCACAATGTAGCTACATGTGCACAAAAAAGAACGCTGAGAGCCAGTTTTTAATGTGTGCCTCCAATTTTTCTATTTGGATATAACATTTTTTGTTCTTGGTTCCATGCAATGAACTTCATTGTGCTGTAATCCGTGAAGTACTTGTTCAATTTTTTTATCAGCTTGCAGCGTTGCACTCCTTAGGCTTTCTAGTATCCATATATATGTTAATGACTTTGTAACTCAGAGTACATACATCTTTACAGTTGAAAGTGTTAGAATTCTTTTTTTCTTCTTTATTTTCTCAAAATGGCAATTTTGTACATCCTGCATGGCGATTCCTGCAATATATCAGAAACTATTACAGATAGCAGAATTATTTTTGTAGCATAAAACTATGTGTTTGGAGCACACAACATAGGAAGCAGATTTTAATTTGTTTGATGCAAGTTTTTAAAATTAGTTTTTTGTGTGACCACAACATGGCCACATTCAGAGCTATGAAGTTTAGTGTACTGTAATGTAAGAAATAATGACCCATTCAAAAAGTGCTTCCTGTGTTGTATGTCTTATGCTTTCTACTGTTAATTCCTGTCATTTGTAAACTTTTGACTGGTGGCTATTTTTCTATTGTGGTAAGACCAATAGATATTGTTATCTTGATTATTGAATGAACTAATGATGCTACAGAAAAAATACCCAGATTTTTAGAGTCAGGAGAACAAACCAAGTAAGCAAGCCAATTCTCATCATATTCGGTTAAAAAAAGATGAGATATCCATAGACCCATGTCCCCCCTTATCATGTAAAAAGTGTGTATCAGGTGTCTCTATGTACGGCTAAAAGAACACTCCGGAACCTTCAAGGCCTGCACATATGCGAATCTGCCTTTGCACTGCCACACGTGTGGGTGCATGCCTTTGTTCAATAAACCAACAGCACTCTTCGAACATAGTGATCAGGTGACAAGAAAACTTGTGGAAGCATTCTACATCAAAAGAGAAGGGGAGTCCTGCGTTAGTCAAACATCGATATCTTAACATGAAAAAGAAGAAATCCTTATCAGCAGCATGTTTGTTTGAATTTATTTTTGTCGCGTCTGTGTAGTGACCTGCAGTGTAAAATTGTTAATGACGTCGACACAGTCCCTCGCTGGCCCCTCTGAGCATGTTCTGCATGTTTAATTTATGTGTTCAGATAATTTGTATATTTCAATAAATCTTCAGTTGAGAGCAGTGCTTGTTTGTGTCCCTTCTCTTCACCCAGAGAGTTTGTGCGCTGTTACCGCCCATAAAGTCCCCGCTACTGATTGCTGGGCCCCGAAAGGTACGAAGCCAACATTTGCACGCAAACAGACGGTTCCACTGTTTTCTGCAACCCCTAATCGGCTCATTCACGCAGAACTCGCACTGCATGGCACAATTTCTCGAGTCCTCAGTAAAAAGTATCATTTAGCACTTTAAGAGCTCTGTCGACAAGACATCGTCGCAACCGCACACAACCAAATGGTGGTTGTCGTGGTTAGAAGAAGGGGCCTAATTTCTGCAGCCCGGTAGGGAGCACGGTGCAGCGCCTACAGCAAATGCGACCCCCCCTCCCCATCACACCGATCGTACCATGAACAAAGCACGAGGCGGCGAGGCCTCAGGCCGATACCTAAGGAAATAGTAGATTTCATCGCAAACACGGTGGAGCGGCTGCATTTCGCAGGGGCGGTACACGATTATTGCATGAATAACTTTTTTGTAAATTTTTTAGGTAGTCGGAAAGGAGAAGGGGGCTATTTTTTTCAGATTTTATGGTATATAACATGCCTATGCAGCAGGAACCACTTAAAGAACAGCTGGCATGGCAGTTGAACGCCATAACCTTGGCGTTATTGGTTGGTTTAATGGTGAATGTAAGTCGAAATTCTTTGGTCATGAATATAGATCGATAGCTGGTTATGAACAACATTTTCGAAAAAAAAAAAAGGTAGACCTATATTCGAATAAATACGGTACTCTGTGTGACTAGATCTTGAGTAGGTAACGACCCCGGATACGTATACACACAATTAAAGCGTATGTAGAAGCGCATGATCTTCCAGAATGAATTTTACATTATAAAAAGACATTCTGTCTCCATCTCTACTTTTCCAATCGTCAACCAAGGGGAAAGCAAGTTGATATTGTTCACTCGTGATCATTTGGTTGACATTTCATTCGAGGAGGGGGTGCTTTTTCTTTCGGACAGAATCTGAAAGTCATTGCAAGATGCGGGGTCGGTGTAAAACTGTTTCGTATAATTAAGGTTTTCAATAGATTATTTCTATGGGGATTTGGCAAGGACCAAACTGATTCATCGTAAAATGCGGGTTGTCGCGAAAGTGGGGGACACATAATTGATGTTCCACTATATATAAATAATTTATCAGGTTAAAAACAGCATAAGTATTTAGTGGGTTATTAGGAATGCCAGGGCAGAAGTTCGCTGTAATTTTCTTGGAGATTTGTTATCTCCTCAGCCTAATGCAAGACAAAAAGTGTTTCCTTGTTTTTTTTTGTTTTTCTTTTTTTTTCCAGTTCTGATCAGCATTTTGCACAATGAGTGAGAGCATTATCCGTGACCTCGCGCGCAGAGGCTTGGAACCATGCTGCCGCCAATGCTTTGCTTTGTTTAAAACTGAATTGCACATGCCACACGTTTACATCCAGGCCATGCAAATATTTTCAAAAGCACCAGTCATCGTGAACATGCAGAATGTTCCCTTTTGAAGATTTTTTTATGGCTGCCATCTACGACGAGCAAATTTCGACATGTTAACCTAACATAACCATGCACTTAAAGGCAGCGGCCCTTCCTTTTAAAAACTGGGACCATAGAAAATAGCAATGCAGAAATTTCAGCCAACTGATTGTAGACACGCGCAGCGCTACCACGCAGAAAGATCTTGCCGGCGCAACCTTCTTGCCAATGAGCACCTGCTCTGGGGAAGGGGATGGTGAACTAGCTGCCCGCAGTAACGTCACACTGTCTCTATTGGCAGAAGTCTATTGAATGTCCTCAAGTTGATAGCACCATTCCCAAACCCAGAGTCTTAGAATAGCATCTGTAGTGTCCAAAAACACATCGTTTGAAACCCAAGCCAGTGGATTTGCAACCAAAACCATTACAAACTAGTCGAGCTAACCTTTTAGAGGTGACAAGCCGTGGTGACCGATGATGTTTGTGATGGTGGTGCTTCTCCCGCAACGGTGACCGGGAGGTGTCTCTGCCATGCCGATGGTGGCGATGACGGTGCTTGGTCGGGGAACGTGACCGGTGGCGGGACTTGGACGAGGACTTGTGCGACCTGCGGCGTGGGGAAACCATTTCTGCGGATGGGGCCCTGTCACTGCTCTGCTCCCTCGAGGAGTTTGCCGAAGGTGAAGCAGGAAGCGAGTCGGTGGGAGCTCGTGAAAGGTCGGCAAGCCTGCAGGTTGCACAAGGCATGCTCATGAGGGACTTCTATATGCTTTACGAGCAAATGTACAGTAGACTCTCGTTAAAGGAAAATTGAAGTGACCGTGAATGTTCCATTTAACAGCAGCTCCGTTTACTGAGAGAAGTGCAGGGGCGTCGAATCCAAGTACGAAACCAATCGTATCAGAGGCAGTTGTTCCACTTAAGCAGTAGTTCTGTTAAACATATTTCCATTTACTGAGAGTGAACGAAGTACCAAGAGTGCTATACACACAATTTAATTAACTCAAACCTCGATATAACGAATGCCAATATAACAAAATATTGGTTACAATAAAGTAAATAAAATAGTCTTATTGTGTTGAGAATAAACCTTTATAATAAATTTTCGGATTATATCGAACCTATTTTCATGTAAGAGGCAACTTTGCTATAATGTGTAACTTCATTATAATGAGGTATGACTTACGAGGATGCTGCACTGATCAAATTATAATTCAGACAAAATAGCCAATTAGGCATAATAAGCTTTTGAAGCAGGAGACAATATGAAGCGAGAGACAATATGTAATGCCCAAATATGATGCAGTCATGGAGAGTATGCCATATATAATGGCTGCAAAGTTGCTAGAGGCAAATGACAGCCTATTGTCATAATGTTGTGACAGGGTCGAACGACCCAACTCAAGCACTTGAGGTTCATCAAAAATCGTTCTCATTCTACGCTTTTTCGATAGAAGTGCACAAACCCTTGGCTGCCCGAAATCCTTCTCCCTCGCTCCATCTGTTCCGGTTTAAAGTAAAATCAAAGCTAAAGTGAAGAAGCTTGCTTGCTTACTCTTTCAAAGAGAGATGTGATTCGGAAAAAAAAAGAAAATTCTTTAACCACTAGCCTAAAGCAAATAATTTTTTGCTGTTTACATCAAGTTTTATGCAGATTTCAAATATGGAATCATTTTTATATTAGGTTGAATAGTTTTAGTTTAGTTTAGTTTTTTACCATAAAAATTTGTAAAATACAGCTTTTCTTTATTAATAATTATGAGTCAATAATGGCTCACATTACTGCATATTAAGAGTGAATTGTAAATAACCATCAAGAAAGGTATGTATAATACATATAAATGACCATGAAAAACGTTATTATGAGAATTATTAAATGTCAGCCCATACTGATTGCTTGCATTAGTTCGTAATAACTATATTTATATAGTATCATGCTTTAAAAGAGATAATTGCACTCTTGACATGTGAAGAACTACCGTATTTAATCGCATAATCCTCGCAGTTTTTTTGCTGGAAAACCGATGCAAAGTTGGGGGGTGCGAGAATTACGCGGGGAAAACTTTTTTTGAATACGTACATAGCGAAAAAGAGAACGAAGTGGCCGCGAATCAGGATTCTCACACCAGCAACTAACAGCAAGCTTTAAGAAGTACTAATTAAAACTTACCTCAACAATAAAAGCAGAGGTTTAACACAAGACAAGATTTGAGACACAAAAAGTGGAAGCAAGTAGTCGAGAACTAGAATACCATACGCAAAGCTTGTGGACGTTGCGGGCGTAGCGGTAGTGTTCGTCGCTCAACAGGAGCCCTCAAAAGATAAGCGTAGGACGTCAGTATTGGGCTGATGGCCATTTAACAGAATCGTCCGCAGTTTCCTTCTGTATAAATAAAGTTTACCATCAATCCCAGTTTTAGGCACACGGTAGGCCCAAGCGTCTTGGTGGCTTGCAGCTGCCGTCACCAGTAGCGAACACAAAACTCGTAGACAAACGGCGGCCCTGTTGCCGTAGTTTAGTGCATGATCTATCACTTTCAACTTGAAAGCAGCCGTGTAGCTTCAGTATTGCCTCAAAACATGACAAGATTACTGACACAACACAAAAAACACACCGCAATGCGCACTGGCCCCTTCGGCTAGGCTTAAATTGAATTGAATCTCTGCGCAATAGTACGCTTGATGGTTAAGAGATGGCGTGTGCTATCATCATCAGTGGCTGGAACGAGCACACGACATTACTCGACAGTTTTTGGGGGTGCGATAATTACTCGAGAAAAAAAAAGAAATCGTATTTTTGTTGGGCGATGTGGGGGGTGCAAGAATTATGCGAGTGCGAGGATTACGCGAGTAAATACGGTATGTGGCAAAAGTGTTATCTTCATCTGACCATCAGAAGTACTAAAATTATGACGTGTAAACTCAAGAAGTTACCCAAAATTGCATCTAAAAAAAAAAAAAACACGCATATTAAACAGAACTCAAAGCTCATCTGTGTAGCAATGATATACTTCTTAATCTGATTTCCTGTATCATGAGAGCTTGCAAATCATGGTTATATTAAGCACATGGCTTTAGTGAACTCCTCATGCCAAATGCAAAGGCAAGCAGCCAGGGAACAATTTCCGGGGGAGCCTAGACAATGAGCCCTTTTTAGTTTTCCTTATAGCCCCTTTGTGCTTTTTAGAAGCGACTTTAGCCTACTTCGAGCTTAATTTAAGCCTTAATTTTTTTTTTGTCATGAAAGTAGAGATACTAAACTTGTGGAAGCAATCAGAAACAAAAATAAATTTTAGAAGAAAACTTGCTTCTTTCTAAGTTGTATTTCCCCTAAAGAGTGGCGCATATTGCAGTGAGAAAGCATACGCAGTCGACGTGCGATTTCCCAGACCCTCAAGGCGAACATGTCCAGAAAACAGGGCGGTCCAGAAGAAAGAATGAAAGCGAAAATGCATTGCTGACGAAGAAGGTCACGGCTGGAATACAAGATTTTAATTGCAATTTAGCTAATGCATCGTTTGAATGGCTATGAAAAGAGCAGTTTATATTAAGAACAAAACAAAAAAAAAGGAGAAAAAATTTGATGTGACCGGCACTACCACGTTTGTAAACACTTTGGCACAAAAAAAGTAGCTTCTTTTCGTTTGCACGGCATTTCACTTGCCCGCGATTATGCCAGCCTTACTTTCAACTAATACCACCCTGTTGCTGTACACCTATGACAGTGTCATCATTGCTTGTGTCAACTTCAAGCTCGTTGGCTGTGTAAGCGCTGCCTGTTCAATCCCGGTGTCTGAGTCATCGGAATCCTCCGTAACTTGAGGAATTATTTCATTATTGGTCAATTCCGCACACAGCACAAGGTCTTTGTCCGCATCGGTGAAACGTTCAAAGGTTATCCCTGCTGAAATTGAAACACCGACAGCGTGCAGATTGTCGAAGGCAACATCCATGGGTGGAAAAGTTAAGGGGGGGCGCGGCAAGTAAAGTGCCGATTTTGGTCAAAATATGCGATTTTCTGATTTATTTTTTTTCGTAATCTTCAGACCTTCAACTTCCTTGTTCTAAAATATTACAGCGAAACGTGCGCTACAAATCCCGCAAATAGTGTTTTTGCCGAGGCTAGTCGCCAAAAAGTGCGAAAAAAAAGCCCCTGAAACGGTGTTGTTCACGCCGCACAAACGCGCCAAGTTGTTGACCGTGGGCCGCCATTTTGGTAGCTTTGGAAAGAGGAGAAAGCCGGCTTCCCGATGGTCGCAGTCTCGTATTTCGCCGAGTGAAAATAAAAGCGCGAGGAGCAAGTAAAAAAACGAAAACGAAGAACGGCAATTGGCTGCGCGGGTCACGTGGTAGCAGGCGCGACCTCTTACTGGTCAAAGCTGCGCCGCGCACCTTGGCAACCTTGGAAGCGCGAGCGCATCTGCGGCCGCCGTGTCGAGAATCATCCGGCGTGCGCTTCGTTTTTTGCCAGTTTGCTGTTTTTGTGATAGTTCGCGTGCTTTTTTTACCAAGCTTTGTTACATCGGTGGTCTCTTCTGAGTGCTTGCTCATACTGCGGTGCTATGTTGCCGCAAAAAAAGTTCCGGAGCGTCCACAAGTACGGCAAGCGTCGGAAAGCTTGGAACAAAGGGCAGACGACTGCGGCTGCCGTCCCAGTCGCAGTTCCGGACGGAGCATGCTCTTCGAGCGTCACGGAGCCTCTACTCAGACCCTTCGCTGATTGTTGTGAGGCCGAGAGTGTGGAAGGTGCCACATCGTCGTATGTCAGACCGCCGGATGCCGTCGACCGTGATGGACGCTCTCGCGAACCCGATTGCGGTGGCACCGCGTCGGCAGCCGTTGCAACTCCAGGCGTGCGCGCGTCGAACATTCTATCGCGAGTTTCGGCCCAGATTCCGAGCAGTGAAGAAATCGCGCAGCGGGCGCAGACAAGGCGGGATGTTTTGGATGCCGTAGCATCGAAGTCCGCTTCAAAGCGGAAGCTCGAGCTTCTGAACGAAGGCTGCGACGAAAATGACGGCGGTAAGGACTCCACATTCTTCATTGTAAATAAGAAGATGGTGAACGGTCTGCTTTCGTCAGTAAAGTGCAACAAGTGCGACGAAGGGTCGATACGCCTCGAGACTACGCACTGCCTTGGACTCGCGGCGAGCATGGAACTTTTTTGTGACAATTGTGGCAGAGTGAACAGTGCGTGGTCGTCCCCGAGGTGCTCCGGGCAACAAAAAACGAACCCCTTTGAGGTAAACGTGCGTGCTTTGAGGGCTGTGCAGTCAGTTGGCAGGAAACAATCTGCCATAAATGACATTTTTTCTGCGATGGACATTTCGCATCGAGCACTGCACCACAAGTCCTACCAGAGACTGCAAAGGAAGTACAGCCACCCTGCCACCACATCAGCTGCCACCCGCATTGAAGCAGAAAGTGCACAGAAGGTGCATGACATTTACAAGGACCTAGGAGGAGTGCCAGGCAACATTGACGTCATTTACGACGGCACGTGGATGACGAGGGGGCACAGAAGTCATATTGGCGTGGGCTGTGTAATCGAGCTGTACACAGGCTTGGTCTTGGACCACTGTGTCCTGTCCAACTACTGCCAAGGCTGTGCTGTTGGCCCCAAGCCTGGTGACGACAACTATGAGGAGTGGCTTGAGAAACACAAGCCACAGTGCCAAAAGAACACCGATGCTAATGCAGGCCAATGGAAGTAGAAGCAGCTAGGATCATGTTTGAAAGATCGTTTACCAAGTACAAGCTTCGATACATCAATGTGCTCTGCGACGGTGACAGCCGTACGTACCTTGCCCTCACGCAAGACAAGGTGTATGGCTACATGGTGATTAAGAAACAGGAGTGTGTGAACCATGTGAAAAAAAGAATGGGCACTTCCTTGCGCAACCTTCTTGATGAGCACAAATCCAAAGGCCGAGGACTGAGCATGGGTGGCAAAGGCCGGCTGACGCAGGGCCTGATAAAGAAGTTGACGAATTATTATGGCTGGGCCATTAAGAGCCACCCCAACGATGTTCCTGGCATGGAGAGGGCCATCATGGCCACTTATTACCATGTAACATCCACAGACCAGGATCCACACCACAACCTGTGCCCAAGTGGGACTGACTCCTGGTGCCCGCACAATCAGGCATTGGCCAAGGGAGAGCCGCTGCCGCCTCACAAACATAAACTGCCCCCTCACGTGCGAGTGGCACTGCTGCCAATCTACAAGCGCCTCTCGAACAAAGAGCTCCTTGAAAGGTGTGCGCAGGGAAAAACCCAGAACGCTGTGGAGAGTATGAACAGCCTCATTTGGTCACTCCAGTCCAAGAGCCAGTTCGCCTCCCTTCGAAGTGTGGAAAGTGCAGTTGCAGATGCAGTCTGCCGTTTCAATGGTGGCTGCAAGAGTGCGCTGCAAGAGATCACTGCTCAACTGGGCTTCAATCCAGGAGACTGCTCTTTGCGGCGAGCAGCCGAAAAGGATGCCAAAAGGGTAAAGAGGGCTCAAAAAGCGCATTGTTCCACGACAAAGAAGCGCAAAACTGGGTTGCGCTCTACAGAGGCCAAGGCCACAGCATCTCAGGATTACTGCCCAGGAGGATTCTGAGTGTTTTAGCCATGTTGTGAACTTCCAAACAAGAGTGAACTTTCAAAGTCAGTTTTCTCAACTCTTGATTTTCGCCTATGTGCCTTCGCTAGAACATCTGTCATTTTCTAACAAAGACTGATAGAGTCGTTCCGTTTTTTGCACTAGGCTCAGGAGGCCTTTAGCAGTGCAATAAAGCTTTATCTCTCTTCTTACTCATCATTTAAAATTTTTAGAACACATTTTATAATTACTGCGATGTGTGCGCAAAACAACATCCATGTTTTGGAAATTTTATTTATGGTTACAAGAACTAGAAAAATCAACTAATAGCTTCTTTGCACAAGTTGATGCTTTGGGAACATAATAATATGAAAAAATAATTTCATTTAGCAATAATTATCTCTTTAAGTGTGAAGAGCATTAATTAGTATAATTATGCTTGTAACTCAAAAAGTACAAGAGGTATTTGAAAACGGTTTTCATATTTGGAATCCTCACAATCATCCACATACACACACCAAATTTCATCACAAACAGTACATTAATAAAAAAATTAGTTTTACTTGCCACGTCCCCCCTTAATCGCACATGCTTTCCACTTCGGGTGAGACGGCCAGTCTCGGCATCCAGTAGAAGCTCGTGTGGTGAAAACAGATTTGGAGGGTCTGTTATATAACCACCTTCCACGAGTTCCAACAGCAGACCTTAGGTCAGCAGCATAGCTTTTGCCACTGTCGGAGCACAACACCATGCGGCTGTGGCCAGAACTTTGACTAAGCTACGGCTGGCAAGGGATTGGCGTGTGATAGATTGCGGCTATGGCAGCCATGACCATAGCCACACCTTCGATGCGTGTATGGTGGGTTTGAGGCTACAAAAACAATAAAAGGGGCGGTGTCGATAGTGACTTAGAGTCTGCGGTTAGCGGTAAAAAGTCCAGAAAATCAGATGGCGAAAGCTATGAACATCCGCAATTTTGGACACTGACTCTATGGGGAACTTGACAGTGCCACAGATGGAGTCCAGGAAATCAGGCATGTCTAGAATTTCGGGCATCCGAGAAATCGGACGCCAACTGTAGTATATATGAAGAATCTTTCCAGCAGTGCCTGACAACAGAATTCAAAGGGTTAGACAGTGTGCCTCTAAATGTCACGCACAATTACTGCATGAATCTTTTCAGACACCACAACTTAATTTTCCTTAAGTGCAGCTGAAAAGGAGCCGACGGAGAGAGAATTCCAACCTGTTTGATGGTTCCTTCGGTGTAGAAGTAGCACTAGAACCCTTGGAGCTCTCGCGTTGCTGTCCAGCTTGCGTCGCCGAGACTGAGCCCCCGGCACCAGCATCTTGTGAATCCTTGATCATGCTGAGGAATTTGGCAAGGCGCTTCTTTCGTTCCAGCTGTAGCTGCCGAGCAGGGGAGAGCCGGTCCTCTGACGACGCACCGTCTGAAAATGGAGGACCACAGCTACATTGCTGGCAGTAAGAAGCCAAATAAAAACCTAGCATTGTTATAGGTATCGGAGAGCTGCAAGGCGCATGAATAGATTTGGATGTGGTCTTGCGAACTTGTTCGAACCTCAAGCAATACTTGCGACAGCAAAATTTTATGAAGGTTCTTTTGCAAACTTTAGATCTTGTAATTGCTGCTTTTTTCCGTAATTTTTGTCATCATGCAAATTGGGTCAGAACTTGCAAACAAATGCACTGCAACTTCGATAAATATACGGAAGGCCCAGGCGAGTGCCATCTATTGATCTCCTGTATTTGTCGAAGTCGTGCTGCATTTGAGCATGGACCAGCTCACCCCAGCCAAGCTATTATTGGTTAGAATTCAGATCGCAACAACATAACTTCATTCTATATGTAGATTTCTTATAGTTCCAACCATTTTACTGATGTAAAACTACGTTCATTCCTATAACAATTACCAGCACCACAACTACCAAAAAAGGACGGTAAGAAGAAGAAACAACCATCTTGCTTCTCCTTCATCAACTCGCTAAAATCTTGTTGCTATTATTGGTTTCCAACAAGACGTGTTGTTAAAGAGCTCTAACTCGAACTCCACTGATTCCTACCTAAATGCTTATCCTTGGCGACCTTCTCCACCACTTTCGCAGGCTCCTCGACGGGTGCAGCAACAGACGGTGCAGCCGGTGCAGCCGAGGCTGCGACTTCAGTCGGTTCCTCGGAGTCCGATTCGGAAGCATTAAGTGGCAACCGCTTTTTGTCCTTTCCTTCCGAATCCTTCAGCTTGAGTGAGAAACTCACAGGACCTATGTGGAAGCATTTAAGCACACAAGAATGTTGCGAAATGAGCTGGCAGCAATGCTTTAACTGTGCAACACAAACATGCTAGTATAAGCATAAGCAGGGACCAACAATATGAATTTGCATCAAGTCAATGAATGAATGAGTAAGGCCATGGCTTCTGGTTATTTTTAACTGAAGTGAACTTACCAAGAACTAGAGAAGAGTGAGAGTGCATGGAAACAATATGCTGCAAATGGGAACTGAGAGAAAAAAACATTCTCATTTTGAAAAGAGAGACGCTGAAACCGCAACCTGCTCATTGTGCACGTGATGCACTACACTCAAGCCTAGATATAACAAACTCATATATAACAAACTACCTGTCATTACGAAGTAAATAAAAATAGGCTTGCAATAGCTGTGGTGTTAAAAATATATCTTTATAACAAGTTTTCGGATATAACTAAGTCATTTTCGTGTATGATGCAACTTTAATAGGTATCTACTACAAGGCCTGTGTGTGCTAGTACCATACAGTGCTGTAGTGCAATGCACTAGAATGTAGCATTCGGCAACACTTAAGGGGCATTCACACTAAGGAAGTGAAGCAAAAACGAAAGGGCTAGAGTAGCCGGAAAACCCCCAACTGCGTGTGTCAAAGATGTTCACATTCGTTCTGCCCCTTCCCACCGCCACTGCCGTCGCTACCTTGAGAGTTGATTCGATTTTGCCGGTTTCTGAGGTTTCTAATTTGATTTTGCCGGTTTCTGAGTACCAAGTTCTAGTCATTCTCGCAAAGTCCTGAGAAGAAACAGCTCTCACCTTTTCAAACATTGTTTTGGGAGATACACCACCAGAAACGACACGAGCGATTGCACCGGCAGGGGCGGTGACAGATTCAATTGGCTGTACACCAAAGCGAGACACTTTGGGGCATGACAACTAGAGTTAAACCCCTGTATAAGAGGCATGCTCCAGGCACCAGTTCTTGTCTTTTATATGAGATGTCCTTTATAAGCAGGGTACCTTGTATGTATTTTCTTATCAACTCGTAATTTACTGTAACCACAATGCTGTGTCTTATACCCATTTGTTCCTTATATCAGTGTCTCCCATAAAGGGATTGAACTGTAATCCAAATTTCATCTAATTACGGAGTTCTCCCCAATCGTAATCAAAACCAGGCTCTTGATGAACGCACCCTTGTTGAGGCCATCATGCTTCATCGTGCTACGTAGGTAGTTTGCAATTTGAGCTGATGCGAGCCACCGCTGACGCCTTTGTCGCCATGTTGAATCTGCGGCCGACTGGTTAGATCACTTGGTTTGATCTAGCGCAGCCAAAAGCGATGAAGAAAAAACCGGACTCGCTTTTGCGTGACGGAAAATTTGGTTTCGAACCGATTTTGGCGCGCCGGTCACGCGGCGTGGTTTTCTGGCTTTTTTGGCGGCGAAACGAAGCAGTTTCCAAAGAGTTCCGCCGCTTTCGCTCTCTTCGAGGCAAAGTGTAAATGCGCCCTAATCTTTTAAAGAATGATGCCAAGGTATTTTTATATATGATTTCCCATGTTGACAGTCACTACCTAAATACCAATTAACTAGTTGAATCTTCTACAATGCAACACCTTGCTGTTTAAAGTTCATTATAAAGTTTAATAAATCTATGCTACTGTGCCATGCATATGCATCTGTCAGCATAAAGCAAAGTGAAATTTTACAATATAGTTTTTCCCATCTTATCTCATTTTCATTTTCCCATCTATATACCAAGGATGCCTCCATCACCAAGCTTTTCATTGATTTGAATGATATGTGGGCTTTAAACGTCTCAAAATGATTACGAGAGACGCTGTAGTGGAGGGCCCCGGAAACTTCGACCACCTGGGGTTCTTTAACGTGCACTCAAATCTGAGCCCACCGGCCTATAGCATTTTCGCCTTCATCGATATTGCAGCCGCCGCAGCTAAAATTCGATACCGTGACCTGGGGGTCAGCAACCACTGACCATCGCAACACCACTGCGGCAGGCATCACCACGCCATTCATTGAAAAGAATACTCCGATGCAGACTACAGTGCAACCTGTTATCAGATTCCACAAATATGCTTGAAATGCTTTTAACGATATTCTTTTATAATACATAGCACTACATTCAGTCCCCAAAACACACCTCGGAAAACAAACACGCTATTGATCAACTGATGCAACCACATTTTCGAAGGCAGCAATTAAGTTTCCACTGGCTGATACGACAACACAAGGTTTCACATCAGAGGGTCATACATTGCCCCAACACACTGCTTACCTTTGACATAATTACTGTCACTGGGAGTCGAGAACCCTGGCTGGGAACTGGTGTCGTTACTGTCAATGTTGGAGAAGGGAGAGTCCGCCCGAGAAAGGCCGTCGTCCGTGCCAACGCTGAGGCCGTTTTCTAATTTGGGACCCACCACGTCATAGCGCTCCTCAGTCCGCTCCGCAACATCACCCGTTGAGGGAGTCTTGCCAGCGTTGTCGGCGGGTTCGAGTTTGTCCTTCGATGCCGCCTCTACGACACTTGACTCCTGCTGTTTCTGCTGCTGAGCTCGCTCATTGAGGTACGTCTGCTTCTTGTGCAGGTAGTACTGGTGGTATTCGTGGTCGGGCAGCAGGAACTCGAAGCGCTTGTCACCTAGTGAATAAGAATGTCATGCCAAGACTAAGTTAGCACCGTCTCGAGATCACGAGCAGAAACAAGTGTAGTTGTCCTCAAACTCCCTTGTGTTGGGCATGTCTAGTAGCAGCCTACTGATACATATTATTGTAATTACAGTGGACTCCTCTTAAACGAAACTAGAAGGGGCAAGAAAATTTGTTCCATTTTTGAGAAGTTTTATTTAAGCAAAGCCCACAAATCGAATGAAACATGACTTTATTTCAAAAGCACCAACTGTGACTGACTGAACAGAAACATTTTGAAGTATACAATACTACTATAGTACTAGAAAGAAAAATGTTTATAATATTGCTGACTCGGAAAAAAGGAGGTGATAACAATTTTCTTGGCCTTGTTCAAGCACTTTCTCACACTGTAGGAGTGCATTACTGAAAGGCTGGGCAGGAACTCTGTGCCACCATCGTGTTCAACGTAGCGCTGCAACAGGATGACAGCATCTCTTGCTGCACTGTCTGCCACTGAAATGGGCTCGGGATCACAAACTATCTCATTACCACTTGAGCACAAGTTCTCATCTGGAACTTCAGCTATAGAATCCTCACGGCTGTCCTCAAGTTCACGACAAGACATCGATTCCTGCTCCGCGTGCCCGGACATGTGCAATCGCTGGGTTGGTTTGACTAGGCTAGCTTTGGCATTTGTTTCATGGTTGCTAGACTGCCATAGTCGCTTCCGCCATTCATGGATTTTGCCCGTTTCAGTTTCATTTAACAGATGCAAGCCAAAAAAGCGTTTCCATTACCCAAAACTTTTTACCATTAAATATTTAAATATATAGGAGACCAACCAAACAATTGTCACGAGATAGTTTTGTTTAATGGGAGTCCACTGTATATGAACACTCTTGACGAGTTTCTGCAATAACATCCTCCCATGCACTGTATGTTATACAGTTGAAACCCGCAATAACGAAATCGGCAGGGAAAGCACAAAAGTTCGCTCTTGTGTGAATTTCATTGGCGCGAGAATGTAGCAGAAAAGACATGGAATTAAGAAAAAAACACATTTTATTTCCAAAACTCAGTAAGTTTACTTTGGCGGGCCTTACCATGCAGCAATTTCATGCCTCTCGACTCCACTGTAAGAAATAGTTCATCGCCACGTCGTCATCGTGCTCGTTGAAAAACAAGTGAATTGTGTCGAAGGCATTCAGCACATCCTGCGAACTTGTTTTCTCTGGCTGCTCCGGTCGTTGCTCATCGGATCGGCCGCCTCGCACAGCTACTGACAATGGCTTCATCAGTCACTTCCTCCCGCATGACGACGCCTTCGTCGGCGCAAACGAACTCTTGGACACTGAGGCCATTGGGAATCTCGTTTGCCACGGCAAGTTCGCCCCATGCACTGGTCAGTGACAACGGCACTGCGCTGTTACCAGAACTGTCATCAAGTGCGCCTACAGGCGAACCTTCTTCCGGTTCCTCTGAATCAGTGCGTGATGCCTGCGGAGTGACAAGGCCGGCGTGTGTGAAGCAATTCATTATCACGGCTGGACTCGTTGCAATCCATGCAGTGGCGATCATCTCTAGCACCATAAACAAGTCCACATCAGTGGGCCACTTCATATGTATATTTAGCAGCAAACGCTGAATCAGCCTCTCTCCGTAAGCGCATTTCACGCTGCAAATAACTCCCTGATCGAGAGGCTGCAGCACCAAAGTGCAGTTGGGTGGAAAGAACACCAGACACCTGTTTCTGAGCTGTACGTTGACGTGATGGGCACTACAGTTGTCGAGAAGAAGGCAGACCGACCTGTTTGCCTTCTGCATGTTGGCATCGAAGGACTGGAGCCAGCTGCTAAAAATAGCCTGCGTCATCCACGACTTTAAGTTTGCGGTGTAGGTTACTGGCAGCCTGCGATTCCCCTTGAAACAGCGGGCTTCTTGCTCCTGCCAATAACGAGCAGTGGCCGTTTATCTTTGCCATCCATGTTGGCGCACGATAAAATCGTCACACGCCGCTTGCTGTGCTTGCCACTGTGTCCCTCCTGGCCTTTAAAGTCCAAGGTCTTGGACGGCAGCATTTCATAAAACAGTGCTGTTACATCGGCATTACATATGTCCGAGGGCTTGTACTGGCCGCGCAGTTCTTTGTTGCTCAGCAGTCACAACGACGTTGTCACCGTGTCGACGGCTGCTGCCTCCCCAGAGATAACTTTGGCCCCGATGTCGTGGAGAGCTTTGAAACGGCTCAGCCAGCCGGGACTCGCCTCAAGGGGGGACATGGTTCTTAAGGCTCTCTCACTTATTTTTGAACCAAGTGTGACAGAAGTTGGCATGCTTACTTAGTTTGTTCTCCGGATTCTAAAATTGTAGGTATTTTTTCTGTAGCTTCATTAGTTAATTAAATAATCAAGATAACAATTTCTATTGTTCTTACCATAATAGAAAAATAACCACCTGTCAAAAATTTATAAATAACATAGGGATTGACAGTAGAAGGCATAAGACATGCAACATAAAAAGCACTTTTTTGAATGGGTCATTATTTCTTACTTTACAATACACTAAACTTCACAACCCTGAATGCGGCCATTGTGTGGTCACACAAAAAACTAGTTTGAAAAACTTGCATCAAAGAAATCAAAATCTGCTTCCTATGTTGTGTGCTCCAAACATATAGCTTCATGCTGCAAAATAAAATATTCTGCCATCTGTAATAGTTTCAGATATATTGCAGTAAATTTTACGCAAGGTGTACAAAATTGCCATTTTGAGAAAATGAATAAAACAAACATTCTAACATTTTTAACTGTAAAAATGTATGCACTTATAATTACATAGCCATTGACATATAAATGAATGCTAGAAAGCCTAAGGAGTGCAATGCTGCAAGCTGATTGAAAATTGAACCGAGTACTTCTCGAATTACAGCATAGTCAAGTTCATTGCATGTAACCAAATACAAAAATTTTTATATTAAAATAAAAAAAAATGAAGCTGCCCATTAAAGATAGGCCCCCAGCATTGTTTTTTGTGCACATTTAGCTACATTGTGCAAAAACAATTACAGCTCTAGCTGTCCTAGGTCCACTTTTACCGAACAAGCAAAAGAAAGTGGTCAAAATCTGTGCTTCGAGAATAATGCTGTTAAAACTTAATTTCGCCGTTCCGAGGGGAAAATATCATGGCACACATACTTTTAGTCAGTTAATATGCACCGGGAATGTAATAGGACTGATTGTTTGTACGAGCGTGTCGTTTCTTCTAGTCCTGTAGCAAGTTGTTGCCGTGTGCTCGTCGGCCGCGAAGCGGCTTATCAGTTTGGTGAGTGTACTGACGGCGATGTGCGACAAATGTGCGTGCGCCATTCACGATCCATCGAATAACGCGGCGATGTTTTCGGCTTGTCCAGAATAAGTTGCCCGTAAGTGTCGCGAACCAAAGTTGCTCCCTCGCTCATCAATTTCGAGGCTACACGAGTGCCGAGGTGTTAGTTTCCTTTTCACGTAAGACTGCCATATTTTCGAGCAGAGATCGCGACAAGACAACGTTGCGAACACGTCGTTAAAAGCAGTCTACCTGCTGCCAGTAGCCTCCATTGCGAGGGCCGCGAGCATGTTCACTGTGAACGGATTGACTTTCTGTTGTTGGTCGACGCGCGGCGTACTCCACTCTGACGACCCGTCGCACAGTTCAAGGTCCTTTCGTCAGGCAGGGAGAACCACAACATCGGCGGGTTTAGCAATAACACTGCACTTCCGTTCCGTCAGTACAAAGATTGATATCTCTGGTAGCTTCACTTCTGCTTTTTACTTGCCGTCCTCTAACTGATGAGGCTGCAAAACACAGCCGTTCTCAGTAACGTTGTCGGCAGCCAACGGGCTCGTACGTGAGTTAGGTCTGCACCGGTGACTCGGCGACCGCCGTTGACCGCGTCGAGATTGTTATCCTCGTTGTCCCGAGCCATAGCGGGGATCTTTCTGAAGTTCACAGCGAACGAACCACCGCCACACCCGCTTCACAAATTGCTGTAGCACAGAACTTTTTTACTGGCGCAAGCAGTCAGTAGCACTATGACAAAATGGCGCATGTGAAGGTGAAGCAGACGCCGAAAGCGCCCCTTGGCCAATCGGACTCCTAAATTTGGTCACGTGCCCCAAGCAGCCAATTGAATCGCGCGCTAGTGCTTCTCGATGACGCGTTTTTGCTAAAAAAACCAATGAGCAAGGTGAGCCAGCAGTGGTGGGAAATTGAAGATGAAGAACGACCCTTCCAAACGAGACCAAGATGAGCACGATAGCTCGTGTGTAACGGCAACAGTTTGGCGCGGAAAAAGTGCGATTTTTGCGTCAATTTGTGCTCACATTCATCTCACAGGGATGTTATAAATTGATTTTGCGAAAGAAATAATGACGCGAGAAGCTAGAAACTTCTCAGATAAGTGCAAAAATAGGCGCAAGTTTCGAAAATGTCACCTTCAAAAAGTCGATTTTTTTGCAATTTTTGGCCTTCTAAGACCCGTGTCCCCCCTTAAAGTTGTCGCGGCTGAGCATACAAGCGAAGTCCAGCGCCTTCTGTTGCAGGATCCTGCCAGATAAAGGCACCTTGTTCGCACGCTGTTCCCAAAACCACGAGTCCAAGAACGCTGCAGCCGTCACGGTTTCGTTTCTTGCACTCGTGTCGTTTTGAAGGGCACCAAGAATGGAGGCCTTGTTCTTGAGAATCATGGACCACGAGCTGCAAGTAACGCCGAATGCTTTGGCGATGTCCATTTTTTCTGCCCTTTTCCACCTCGCTGATGATTGCAGCCTTATTTTCCAGCGTGATCAACTTCCGCTTTTTCGTAGGGAGCAGCATCTTCGCAGGCAGCAAAATCAGATGAAGCAATCGCAACACACGGTTCACGTTGCACCAAGCGACCAAGCAAACTCCCTACAAATGGCTCCACACACGCGACCATGTGTGTGCAAAGTCGACAAAGCCAAGCACAGAGCCAAGCCAGCGAACGATACTCCATGAGGATTGCGGTGTTGGCTACGTACGTAGTCCGCGATAATGAGCAGGTGTTTCAGCAAGCCATAATCATCATCATTGTCGCCAGCTTTACGTTTCTTTGTAGACAATGATGGCGGCTGCTTCTCAAGTGCGCTTAGCGATAGTTTTGCACAATTGAAGTGAAGCATGAATGCATTTCAGTAGTTTTCGAATGTAAATGTTGTGAGAGTAGATTATATGCACACTCGTGTTTCAAAAATGTCATTAATGAGGGACTGTGTTATGAATATTTTTCATTGTCGCGAGTTAGGAAATGCATTGACTCCTATGGGCATGCACCGATGCTCCGAAAATATTTCGTTGCGGTGAGAATTTCGTTCCCTCGGGATTTCGTTATCGCGGGTTTCGACTGTACACGTGGGCGAAAACGCGCTGGTGGGGGCAATGAACGCGGCTGAAGCAGAGATGAAAAGAGCTGACCCATCTTCGTAGCACGAAGGATACATGCGACACCACCCTGTGTGCCACGCCTGCCACGGACTGCTACTGAAGCAGGGAGGAAGCGCGCAGCCCGTCTTCAAGGATCATTAAGTGACGTCGGAGAGTGGAATGCGTCGCTCAAGCTGCAACTGTGAACTTCGACTTTAAGGGCGTGGTAGAAATCACTGGCATGTAAGCTATCTCAGCAGGCATTACAGCAGGTTCGTATACCCTTCTATGTAATGTGCTCTCCATGCAAAGAGAGATGGCGAAAAGAGCGTTTCTTGCTGGAGTGGCTGTATTCTCTAGCACCTATGTTTTGAAGTGCAAGATCTTATCTAAAAGAGCTACCTACCAGCCTTACTTCATGTAATATTACAATTTGTTGCTAACCCACCCACTCCTTTACCACTGCAGTGAAAAAAAAAAATATGTTTTTTTCAGGCAAATGTGTAAAGTAAACAGAGTAAGTAGTAAAACATGCAAGAGTTGAGAAGTTGGAAAAAAAAGAAGAATAAGGATTGTATTGGGATATTTCAGTGGATGAAAAATGCAATGCCGCTAAGGTGGCAGACAAGAATGACACGTACGCGGTGCAAAGGCTCTTTTGCATGTTATTTCAATGCTTACACATGAAAATGAAAAAGGACAGTGCCTGCAGTGCTGTGTGATTCTTGGCATGCTCACTTGAGTGTACCCCAGATTGAAGTGAATGTGCGTCTTTGAAACAGAGTTTTGCTTTTTGCAGACTGGTTCTTTGGTAATATTTGTGGGAGCTATTGTAATATTTCCAAATCTGTCAGTCCAAAATTTTACTCTGCTTGATGATTACACCACAAGTCAGGGAATTTTTCGAGAAATGGAGTATGTTTACTTAAGGGGGCAGACTGGTCTTAGACATTGTTTTGTTTATTTCTTCAGTGATCTTGATCAAACTGCAGAGAATTATGCAGTTTTTGTCTGCTGATTTCAAATATTTATTTAGTTTTCCTGTAACTCACGGTTGTGGTGCCAGGCATGTCGAAGTAAAGAGGTGTCTGATCGGCATTCCCGATTTGCCCAAGCAGGTAGAAGTTTAGGACGAACCTCTGAAAACTGTGAAGCTTTTCATCGTATTCCTCCGCAAAACTTTTCGCATATGCATGTTCCCCTTCGGACGGAAAAGCCTTTCCTCTTCATAAAGTTAGTTAGCCAGCACCTGCTCGCTTTAAACTAGCTCCACATTAGACCTTTTTCTAAGACTAATTGCACAGCCCGCACTTGGAGCAGTTCTGTCGTCACGGGCCGCTGTGCCGCTCGCTGCTCAAGCATATACTCGCCGAGCAGCTCTTTAATTTGCGGAAACCGGCCCTGCTGTGGTCCACTGAAGCCTTTGCGTGAAGCTTCGCTGTCGACAATCTTTTGCTTTTGTTTCCGCCGGTCCCGCATGCACGTTTCGGGAACTCCGAACGACCGCGATGCGGCCCGATTTCCGTCCGTTTCTGCACACGCGATGACTTTTCTTTTAGAAGCGGCATCGTGGTGCACTTGAGTTTTCGGAGTCAGCCCTTCCACGCCGTCGATGCTAATGCACTACTAGATGACGAACTCCTCAGCACACGTACGAAGTGCCGCACATGGGAAACACATAGGCAGAAATGGCCGACGCGCCATGCCGACGCACGTAGGGGGCGGCCATTTTGGATTTGCCGATGGCAATAGATTGACCGTAATTTTTTTTTTTTCGTACTCGATTATAACGCGCATGCGATTTATTAACTCGCTTAACCGGAAAAAAGGTGCGCGTTAGATTCGAGTAATTACGGTATTTTTTTTTTTCAGAAAAATGGAAAAAACAGAACACTAAGCTTCTTCTAAAAGCAACAATCATGGTGCACATGTTTTGCAATCCTCATAAAGATGCTCATAAATTCGTAGCAGAGCTTCTAACACAAGTGCCGGCAAATTATAAAGCAGCCTCGAAGTCGGTTCCCCATTTGTTTTTTGGCAGGTTCTGCATGTTAACAGCATCAAGAATCTGGACAAATAGAATAACATTACAAAAAAATTACCACTTCCTGGTGTGTGAAAATTTGCAGAGAGATAGAAAAATACTTGCAATTTTTAAAAAGGAATTTTTTTGTCACTTTTGGGTCCCAAAGACCTGTCTGTCCCCTTAAAGGGCCAGTCAACAGGCTCAGACTATTTTTTTACATCCCCCAAACAAGCTTGGTAATTCATAGAGTAGACCGCAGCGATCACGTTTTCTGAATATTACAGAGCTGCGCGCTGCGCACAGCCTCCATTTCGAAAAACAATTCCCATGCTCCTTTCCTACGACTGACCAATCTCTTTGCACGCGCAGTGACGAAAACTCGGCGATCGGCGATGTGACGCAGCCCGCAGCTCTTTGATTGGTCTAAACCATGTCTCAACAAACAGTAGTGAAGTCAACAGTTCCTGTTCCCAGTCACAGTTACGACAGAGCTATTCAATCATACGAGTTGGGAAACTCCCCATAGGCTCCATGCATCAAAATCGGGACACTTCACTGACCCAGTCTTTGGGAGTGAGGAGATTGTCGCGCCACCTGTTGATAGGCACACCCACTATTAAGAACATTATTTGTGTTTTGTGTTGCTGCTTCCAGATGGTGCGGCAGTCTACTCCCAAAATTTTGAACTCCAGAAAAATTGAGCCAACTTCATGTCCGGGATTTGGAACGCAGTTTTGTTACAAATGTCGACTGCAAGTCGATCGTCTGGGCTGCAGAGAAGCATCGGCACCAGGTAAATGGAAATAAACCAGGCATTGCAGCAAGCGGAAGTGCTTTGCAACTGATCGAGTTCGCCGATGACGTAAATCGCTGACGTCTTGCCATATTGCCGAACTGGGCAGAGTCACGACGATGGGCCACGCCTTCCGCTTCCTACATAGGAGAAGGGTGGCGAGACCGAGTGAAAATTTGAAACCAGCTGGAAGCGATGTTCTAGGCCCTGTAACTTCCTTAATATAGCACGTATTCGCAAAATTTTTGTGGCAGCGTGTTCACGAAGTAAAAGTGCACATATCTCTCTTTACAACAATTTTTTGAGCTTGGGGTTGTTTACTAACCCTTTAAGAGTAACAATAGCATACAAGCTAGGCTTCACTAATTTTATAGCTAGCCAAACCCTGTGATCACACTAACACGTAAAAAGAGAACGCACGCACCTTTGCTCTTGACGATGGTCTCAAAATCCTCCCCATTTTTGGCTACATAGACGGCCATCTTGTCAATGATTGGCTGCACATCTGGGGGTGGTGGTATCGCATATCCCGTAAGCACAGCTTCTGTTGGAAGGAGGATGGGCTCCAGGCCTGGAGGTGGAGGTGGCACTGAACAGTCTTCGGGTGCTCCGTAACCTTCGTAGCCTGCATAAATGACAAAATTTGAAAGATCGTCGGCCACGTCAAAGGGGTCTTAGCATGCCTTTAAGAGTATGCAAATATACAAGTATAAATGCACCCCCAACTTCAGTAGTTGATATGTGGGGTTTAACGTCCCAAAACCACCATATGATTATGAGAGATGCCGTAGAGGAGGGCTCTGGAAATTTCGACCACCTGGGGTTCTTTAACGTGCACCCAAATCTGAGCACACGGGCCTACAACATTTCCGCCTCCAACAGAAATGCTGCCGCAGCAGCCGTGATTTGATACCACGACCTGCGGGTCAGAAGCCGAGTACTTTAGCCACTGGACTACCGTGGCAGGACCCCAACTTCAGTAGTCAAAATTTAGATTTTTTTTCCTCGCATAATAGGCACATCCCTACATTCATACGCTACAGTCCCGCAAACTGACACCTGGTGCTTTCCTGACTGATATTTTCTAGTACCCTTCCAACTATTACCCTTCTGACTGATCTTTTCTGTACACCGTGGCGGCAGTTTCTGATGGCGCCATCGAGTGTTTTAGACTTCGTCTACACATTTTCATGTTCTGAAAATGCATCAAAATGTTCAAGATTGTGTGAACTGCGTGGCAATAAATACCTCAGCCTAGAATTGCATAGTCAAATTTCGTTGAAGTGGAATGGCAGAATAAAAAGTGCTCGTGAGTGAACAACTCACGAGCACTGAGTGAGTGAGTTGAGTGAACAACTTTATTCACTTCCTGCAGGTTACCGGACTGAGATCCCACCTAGGAGATGGCCGAGAGACCATGTCTCTCAGCAGCTTCCTTAGCCTGCTGGATCCCCAGTGTTGATTATCTAGTCTTGAGCTGAGCAGCGCAGTCCGCCAACGCTTCCGAAGGTCTTCAATGGAGGCCGCATCTCTCATATTGACAATTAGTGCTGGACATTCCTTGAGAATATGTGCTAGTGTGGCCCTATTACTACATACAGTCGCTCACAGATATTTCGGACTCCCAAAATTCGGACTTGCTGGACTTGCTGGAAGCATTTTTTCGGCTGATTTCCCGGACGAATTGCTCCCCCTAAAGTTGAAATTTTCGGACTAAATCACTTGTTTTGAGGCACACCACGAACCCGCATGGACGCTGCAGTGTTGAATTTTCTGCCGGCTTGAGTAAGCTTAGTGCCTTAATTTTAAAATGGCTTTCCTGCCTCCAAGATTGGAAAGCAAATGTCATATTTCAAGCTTCCGAGGCCGTGTCTGCTTTAGTAAACGCGGCACGGGACCATTTTTTCGTCTTCGGTCAGCCGTAGTGGTCAGCACTGTCGTCATCGCACTATACAGGAAGGAGGCAGAGCTGCGCAGTAGAGGAGTGAATGTGCCTGCCACAATGACATTAGGGAGTTTTAGAATAGCGCACCGTGAGCCCTTGCGGTGCCGTCACTGCCACTGCGCGTGTGTCGTAACGCGAGTCGCCGTTCGGGGCCTGCCTGCAGAAAATTTGAAATAGCGTGCGACAATCGCAGCCCACGAAGTGTTGTGTGTAGCTTCCGTGCATTTGTGATTGTGGTCGGGGCGAATGTCCCAAGACCTTTCCCTAGGAGGAGCAAACACTATTCTAGAACTCATAATGTGTCCGCTATACCGGCAACGCCCGCAAACGTTATTCTAAAACTCCATATTTGAAGACTTCACTCGTGCGGAGGAAGACGATTTCGTGCTTGGAGCTCACAGGTGAAGAAATTCTTCGCCAGGTTGTGCCACAGCCGGTGAGCGGTTCAGATGATGACGACGATGATTGGCTGCAGCTATCGGCAGCAGAGATCGGCACCGCGGTGACGTTTTTGTTGAGCATTTACGGTGACGATGTCACGTGGCGCAGATATGGGGGAACCAAATTGCTTCCAAGCGTAGTATGACGCAGGCAGAATCATGGACTATTTTAAGCCTGCCTGATGCAATAAAGCTTATAATTCTGACAAAAGTGAATTTTTTGGACTGTTCAATTTTTCGGACTTTTTTTTCGGTCCTCGCCAGGTCTGAAGAGTCGGTCGGCGACTGTATACAAATCAGGGTAAATGGGTTTTTTAATTACAGAATTAGTGTAGGTGCCAGTTTGTAATTTCCGCCACTGAACGAACTGGGCCCTGTTGGGCTTGGGGTGAGGCGGGTAGTATTCCCTTAGTTGAAGACTACAGTGTTGGGTAATGTTGTTGAATTTGGTAAGTCTATCTTCCCACTCCTCCCCAAGAGAGTCCGTATGGGTGGTGTCAACCACTGACGTAGCTCGGTAGCTCAGAACGTGAGGCCTTGTGTGATCGATAGGTGTGTTGGCGGGCAACCAGAGGATGCATGCACTTTTGTCGTCAGAACGGCTTTTGCTTTTAGTAACAACTTTCAATGCCACTGGAGAGATCCTACCATATGCTTGTGAGTCACTGATAATATGCTGGGCATTGGTGTGAGCTATGGCGAGCGCAATAGCGACTTTCTTTGCCGTATCCACATGATTTGCGTTGATTGAAGCGTTGGTTATGCATTTGTGCATGTGGTTCTCTAGAACCGCAGCAACAAAACGGCGATAGTTCCGATAGCGCGCTGCATCAATGAAGACCGCCTCCTCATTGCATTGAAAAGTTTAGAGCATAGCTTTGGCTCTACCGATTCTTTTACCTTTGTTGTGCTCAGGGTGCATGTTCTTTGGCAATGATGCTATTATGAGTTTAGAGCGAATTTCGCATGGTATGTGTATTTGATACCATGCTGTGGATGGTAAGAAATGCTGAGACTGTCGTCAATTTGGAAACATTCTTTCGTATTGCTCAAGCGCTCATACTGCGAGATCTGTTGCGCTTCAATTATTTCTTCAAGCGTTTTATGAAGGCCTCGTTAAAGAAGCAGTTTCGTGCTACTATTCTGTCGAAGCCCTAACGCCTGTTTATAAACTCTTCTGATGAGCCCGTTGAGTTTGGTTTTTTCCACCGCGTACCATCGGTGGTAGGCAGCGACATAAGTAATGTGGCTGAGCACAAAGGAGTGGATAAGCCGAAGGATACTACATTCCTTCGTGCCCTGATGTTTGTTACTTATTCTTTCAATGAGTTATTACATGAGTTGTACTTAGACCGAACGCAGATATACACTAATGGGTCCGTCTCGTCCAGCAGCTCATCAGGTGCCGCTGTAATTCCGGCTGCAGCAATGACAATCAAGTTTAAGTTGTCGCATATGACTACATCTACGGCATCAGAGCTTGCTGCTATAAGGGCTGCTTTACAATATCTCGTTCGAGAACGTCCAGGAAAATGGGTCATATTCTGTGATTCGAAGGCAGCGCTTCAGAGTTTGCAGTCTGCCATGCGTAGGAGGAGTCATGACCAATTGGTACAAGAAATAAGACATTGCCATCATGAAGCTCTAGCACGAGGGCATGATATTATATATCAATGGCTGCCTGGACATATCGGTATTACCGGAAATCAATTAGCCGATGATGCAGCCCGCTCAGCCCATGAGAGCACCCATGTGGTCCCGATTCCTCTATCAAGGAATGATGCAGCAAGACAACTTTACCTGCTGGCTCGAGATCTCACACGTACGTCTGGTCGTCTACCGGCTTCCAAAGGTGTCAATTTTATGAACTGGATCCTTCGCTCAAGCTAAAGCTACCATCACAACTTTCCCGCTCCGATGCGACACTGTTATGCTGCCTTTGGTTGGGTGTTGCATTCACAAAGGTGTACTCCTTTCGCATTGGTATGGCAGACACCTCTACATGCGACTTCTGCGGAGCTGAAGAGACCATCGAACACGTTCTGTGCAGCTGCGCTTTCTACGACACACAGCGATGCCAGCTCCGGATGGTTTTGAATCAACTTGACCCCGGACCATTTTGTGTCTACTAGGACTTTGGGCATCTGCCTCAGTTGCGCAGAAAGCAACTAAAGCACTGCTACTTTCCCTAAAGTCAACAAACCTGAGCGACCGCCTGTAGACTGTGTGTGCTCCCCGAGTGTGCTCGTGATTGTGTGTACCTTCTCATCTCTCTGCAACCTCTTTTCTCCCCTTTATCCTTTCCCCAGTGCAGGGTAGCAAACCGGATGCGCGTCTGGTTAACCTCCCTGCCTTTCCTTGCATCTTTATCTCTCTCTCTTTCAATGAGTTGCATCGTTTGCACAACTTTAGCTTCTAATTTGAGAATTGCCTCACCATTTGTGCCTTTGCTTTCAACCACCTGAAACCCGTATTATATTGACTGTCGGTACAACGCGTCCATCTGCCGTCTTTGGGTAATGTCTGTATGTGAGGTTGTTGGACTATACTGTTTGGGTGGTCTGCTTCTGAGTGTGGGGCAGTATAAGAGGAGTTCGAACAAGTGAGCTCTGTTCCGCGTAGGTATTGTTCCACTACCAGGCTTGCACAAATATTCAAATGCTTCGAATATTCAAACGAATAGTTCAGTATTCGAATGCGCTTCAATTCGAATTTATATTGTCGAATATTGGAAGTATTCGCAACGAACGAATAGATGTATAATAATCCGCATGTCATTGCTTGTAAAGGTGGTTTCACTACAGTGTAGGAATGCTAAGCCATGAAAGTACTTATCAAAGGAAAATTCACTTTGCCGCGAAGCCTCCTTCAAATTTAAAGGGGCCCTGCAACACTTGCTGAACATGGTCAGAAAATGCTGCCGATCGGTAGTCGAGGCTACCAAGAACACGGAGACAAATATTACAGGGCAGCACGCGGCCTGTAATTCAAAATAAATTTTCAAAGCTGAAAATTGCCTTTTTTCCTTGGCAAATGACACTACAAGCCCAAAAATCACTTGTCACAGCCAAGAAGGAATATACGGCTCTGGTCACAGCCACTGGCTGATTTGAACAACGCGCGCTCATCATTACTGGGGCTGCCGCGGGAGGCCGCCGTTTGTCCACGAGTAGATGCACAATCGCCCTGAAAATCCGTGTATTCGAAAAAAAAAAAAAAAAAAAGAGGTGCTCAAGGTCA